CTAAGTGCTGGTCCGAACCGAGCGATGTCCGGCGCCCCCTGGGCAACCAGGGTCTATGCCAACCCGACGTCTTGCTCATCCGGTGTGCCCTGAGAACGAGATATGTGCAGCTCCTATCGGGATTTGTCGGCACAGCGGGAGGCTTTGCTGGTCTTGTTTTACCATTGTCAAAATGTCTTGTAAACCGGGATTCCGAGACCGATCGGGTCTTCCTGGGAGAAGGTCTATTCCTTCGTTGATCGCGAGAGCTTGTCATGGGTTAAGTTGGGACACCCCTGCAGGGTTTAAACTTTCGAGAGCCGTGCCCGCGGTTATGTGGCAGATGGGAATTTGTTAATGTCCGGTTGTAGATAACTTGACACCTGATCCGAATTAAAATGCATCAACCGTGTGTGTAGCCGTGATGGTCTCTTCTCGGCGGAGTCCGGGAAGTGAACACGGTTTCTGTGTTATGATTGACGTAAGTAGGAGTTCAGGATGACCTCTTGATCATTACTAGTTCACGACCGTTCCGCTTGCTCTCTTCTCACTCTTATTTGCGTATGTTAGCCACCATATATGCTTAGTCGCTGCTGCAACCTCACCACTTTACCCCTTCCTTTCCCATTAAGCTTTGCTAGTCTTGATACCCATGGTAATGGGATTGCTGAGTCCTCGTGGCTCACAGATTACTACAACAACAGTTGCAGGTACAGGTTATGCGATGATCATGACGCGAGAGCGATGCTTGCTTGCGTTGAGTTTCTTCTGCTGCTTCTTCGATCAGGGGATAGGTTCCAGGTCGGCAGCCTGGGCTAGCAGGGTGGATATTGTTTGAGTTTCTATTTATGATTCATCCGTAGTCGAATGTTGTTCTTGTATGTTGTGATGTTGTATTCATGTGACATTGTATCTATCCCCATCTATTATATAATGTTGATGTAATGATATCCACCTTGCAAAAGCGTTCCAATATGCGGGTCTATCCTTGGTGGGACCTTCGAGTTCCTTTTGGATAGTGTCGCATATTGGGCGTGACAAAAATGTAGTAGGTCTTAATCGAATGTAATAGGTCCTATGAGGTACAATATGTTTATTATGTGGTAATGTGTTAGAGTTGATAATGATGATCTTGAGGAGGTGTTATGTGATGTCAATGATGAAAACGATGATATTGCGGAGGTGTTATATGACAATGATGTATTATGATGCTAAGTTGTTAATGATATGATGATGATGATGATATTATTATATCATTGGGTGAAAGAACCGCGGATTAGTTTCAAGTGGATGGACATTCACTTGAAACTAGTCCACGGTTCTTTCACCCCATGATGTAATAACTCATTATGATGTAAAAACAATCTCTAAATTCCTGTTGTATGAAAACTTGTGTAAAGGTGTATGAATACAACATGAAAAAGGAAAGAAATAAAATACTAAATAATAGTAGTAGCGCGGGTAAGGAGAAGTGCTACTACTAATTACCAGCAGCGATGTTCTAAAGAACCGCTGCTACTAAGTCAATTTAGCAGTAGCGCGTGTCAAGACGCGCTATTGCTAAGCATTAGCTGTAGCGCCTTATCAGTAGCGCTCCTGCCCGTGCTACTGATAGGCCCAAAACCTGCGCTGCTGCTAGGCTTTTCCCTAGTAGTGCTCATCTAGTGTTTCTCTATCTCTCGTCGGTGCCGTCGCCGTTCCGCCTCGCCTCCTATGGTCCTTGGACCATGGAGGCGTGGTGGATCCTGGCACTTGCCGGCGGGAGGACTTCGTTTTTAGAATCTCAGTTCATGCATGTCACAAAAAATTATGTCATTAAAAATATGTACAATTTGAATCCAATGATATAAGATATGCACTAATATTTTATCAGTTAAATTTTTGGTCAAAATTTAGCACAAATTACAAAGAGGACCAATAAACCAGGATGGAGGTAGTACAACAATGTTTATCCGACTCCGACGAGGGAGGGGCAATGACGGCGGCATGCCTTCGGCTCGCTCCAATGTTTTTAGTCGTCGCTAGGTGGTCTAAGAAACTGCAACTAATTTTGTACTTATGGTGTTTTTTGTACCATCTTAGCAATTGATGAATAGATTGGAAGTTTTCTCGTAAAAAGGAAAAAAAGAAAACTAACCAAAACTAGTTTGTCTAAACACCCTCCAACGACTGGTTTTCAGAAAGCTCACCTCTAATTCTGGGCATCCAAGCAACCATTTAAATATACTTCCTTCGTCTCAAAATAAGTGTCTCAACTTTAGTATAAAGTTTAGACATTTATTTTAGGACGGAGAAAATAACATGTACCATGCCCGGTGATGTCAAAAGAAAAAAAACGTACCATGCCCCAGGACACATGCGATATTTGTAAAATGGGGATGTGACACTCTCAGTCTTGGAAAACTGTCTTGTGCGACTGGGTTTATATCCGCTCGTTGTTCGAAGTTTGTTCACTGGCCCGAAATCTGACCTAGACTCTGCAGGCTGCTTCCAAAGTCAAGTCATCCGTGCATCCTAACGTGCCGACCGGTCGCGAGCCATCAGCCATGCATATGCTTTCGCCAGCCCAGACGTACACGATTAGCCGTGAACGGCGGGAAACAGGTCTTTCTTGAAATTTAAGTCGTAAAATAGCATTCTGCCCTTTGTTTTCTTCGGATGCTGCGGTTGACCCGCCTCCTTTGTTTTCTTTCAGGGCTTGTTGAGCTGTGCCCTCAGCAGAACCGTGTGTATTTTGTGTTGTGGTACTTTATGTGTGTGGGTGGAATTTGTTGTACTATGTGGCTCTGGTGGTCTGCTTTATCTATAAAGCGGGGCGAAAACCTTTTTCGGTAATAGCATTCTGCACAGGTTTGATTGGGACAGCGGCACTACGTAAAGGGCATAATGCAATGCTTCACGCTCAACTTAACAGCTATATCTACCAGCGTACGAAACAGTTTGGGAAGCGCACCGAGAGCCCTAGTACCATGGAACCTTTACCATGGTGCTTCACCGTCCTCCTCGTCATCTCCAGCTTGCGGCCACCCATGGCCACTGCTAACACCTACGCCACTGTCTGCGGCAAAACCGGCAAGTACGCAGCCAACAGCACCTACCAACAGAATGTCCAGAGTGTCACCACATACCTCGTCAACGAGGCCGCCTTCAGTGGCGAGAATGGCTTCGCGAAGACGTGGGAGGGCGCCGCCCCAGATAGGGTTTATGGCCTTGGCATCTGCCGCGGGGACACGCCAGACAACGTCACCTGCTACGAGTGCCTGACCTCCGCCGCAGTAGAGGTGTCGACACTCTGCCCGGATGACAAGGACGCCACACTCTTCTACGACGGCTGCATCGTGCGCTTCTCCCACCAGGACTTCCTCTCCTCCGGACATAACGAGCCGGAGGTCGTCGTCAATGGCACGAACAAGGTGAACCCTGCGGCAGTGGCCAACAGCTTCGACGTGCTCGTGGACACGCTGATGAACAAGACTGCAGAGCATGCGGCGGCGGCGAGCGATGCCTCTCACAGGAAGGTAGCCACCGGCGAGGCCTTGTTCGATGGAGGCGATTCGCAAACAAAGATTTACAGCATGGCGCAGTGCACGCCAGACCTGACGTCTGGCGGATGCATAAACTGCCTCCGGCTTGAGATGGACAAAATGGCCCTTAGGGTACCTGGCGTACTGGGACAGAGGGTGGCTGGGCTGAGATGCAACATACGATTCGAGGTGTATCCGTTCTATATCGGCGAGGCCATGGTTCGTATTGAAGGAACTCCGGCGCCATCACCTGCGCCATCAAAGTCGAGGCTGCCGGCGCCTCCTGCACCACCGAACCCTGCGAGTCCACCGAGCAAAGGAGGTATATATCTACATCATATAAGCACTTTTAACTATGGAGTTACACGACAGAGTGATATTCATATTCAGATAGTTCGTATGGTATACATGAACTATGCCATGCTGAGATATTTGCCTAGATTTTCTTTTTGCGGGGATAGAATTGGTTTTTTTTTTGTTGCGAGATGGGATATAATTAGTTGAACACTGACAATGTACAACAAAAACATTGTAAACTGAATGTTGCCTTCTTTTTTATTCAAAAACTGGGGGTTTATTATCAAGTCCACACCGCCACAAAAGAACTCACTCATGGTCTTTGGATCAATGTTGCAAATAGCCAACTTGAAACTAGCCAACATAAGATGGCTTAAACATAATTAGAAAAAAACATACTTGATCTTTCGAAGAAAATGTGAAATATATGAATTACCTACAATTTTGGATCATAATTATTTTTGTGAATTTCCGGTTATTTACAACCGACACGGCTAAGTTGGAAGATCAAATAAGGTTTTCGTCTAAGAACTATTATGTTAGATGAGTCGAATGAGTAATGTTTCATCAAAAGTGATAGAATATCGGTAAGAGCTGTTGGAAGAGTTGACTTGAACTACTCCAACATTTCCTGCAAATCATTGGAACTTTGAATATTCGAACGACCAAAACATATCTCCCATGCCCTATGCATGGATGGTGATTTTTGCAAGGTATGCAAAACCACACAAGACAATAAACCCTGTCAAAACTGTTTTTGCGTGGTATTCCATATATATGTGACCTTGATTGTTTGCCGTCATGAAATGCCATACGACCTAGCATCACATGTCATTGTTACTCCCCCACCCCCCACCCCCACCCAATAGTCTACACATATGCAATGGCGCTATACAAATTGTCTTTGACGGATCTTGAGGGTGATGTGAATGCTTTCACACATGTAAGAGGGTGGTTTAGCTTGTTTATACTAGAGGGTGTTATCCTGACTTTGCCCAAAACATTAAGGGTTAATTAGGCTTTAAAACACAAAATATCTTGTGAAATACAATTTGGGGATTTTTTTTTCCTGAAACCTAACTAGGGAGTGTAATATATCCACCATTCCTTCTTTGCATATGACAGGTTCACATTAAAAATATTAAATCTTTCCTTTCCAACACCCACTCTTTTCTCCATCCCACCCTCTCCTAAACCATTAGTTCTCGAACCGCCAATATTAGGGGCAATGGTGTTAGAAATCGTATCAAGCCTTTAGCTAAAACTCATTGCGTGATGTTTATAAATTTGTGATATGCTTAAATGTACACAATTGTGCATTGATATCGATTGTTGTTACTATGTAGGTATCAAGAATATGATCCGGATAGTTGCAGTGAGTGCGCCTCTGGTACTTCTATTATGTTGCATCCTTCTTACCATTATCTGGACTCAATCAAGACGCCTTCATAAGAGTAAGGAATTCCTTGGTCTATGGTAGCTCTGAATACTTATTTAATATAACAATGTATCATGTATACCTCTAATCTCTTCTAAGGTTTAGCATCTAATATAAATGTTGAACCATTGTTATCGATCTTCACATGTTTGGCTTTTCGTAACTAAATCTCAATCTCGTGTAAAGCCGCATTCCAAAATATTGGGCAAAATTGAGTTGCCATAGTTTCAAGTCTGTTCATTTTTCAAGTCATGGTTCCTTTGTGGTAATTATTTATAACTATTCATAGTTTTGTATTAGGTTCGTCTATCTCCACATTCCATGAGATATATTACTTTAGTACAATAGAAACAGAAGGATGGAAGCATGGTCAGTTTGATGTTAATATATTCCTCAAATTCTTTCTGGAGTGCATGTTTTAGATTAAGTCTATACATACAATGGGATGGGAATGAGGATAGTTGGATGTCAATATAAAGTCTAACTTTGAATGTGAGCAAATATAGGGAAAGTAAATAGTTTTTCCATCCCATTTAAAATCTCACTATGTATATATTTCAACTTGAATTTTTTTTCTCGGACTTCAAATTACTTCATTCAGGTTATTATGTGGATTAGTGAAACTTGGTATATATTCACCATCCAATGCATTTTGATGGTTTGGATATAGAACAAAAGAGTTTTTATACTTAAATGCTTGTATGCCACTAAATGTTCATAAATTACCTTAAAGGTCTATCCTTTAGTGGTATTCCAAAGTTAACTAGTCTTCCCCTCATGCATATCCAAACCAAAAATCACTTTTGTGCGGTACCAAGTTTCCAATTTTTACTCAAATTTATACAAAGACCTTTGGAACTGCGATGATTCGAGTGGCTACCGAAACAATTAATTGTTTTGTCAAATAAAACTAGCAAGACCTATAACTATGACACATTAAATAATTTCAGTTTAATCAAAGTATGTCAATGTGGATTTGGCGTTTTATTCAAATTCAGTTGAAGTTTTAATTTAATATAAATAATATATGGGTTATGTTTAAATTATGTGGAGCATTAGCCAAACAATATATTTTGTCATCTCCATCTGTTTAATTGCTAATTATACACTTATGGCATAGAGTTGCATGCCTTAAAGTTAGTTGTATGAGGTAGCCAATTAAATTAGCTAGACATCAGTATGACACACGCTCTACCGACAATGTTTTCTATAGAGCTACATCATCTCAATTGGACAAACTTGTGCTTACCTGACTCTAAGTAACACATCACGATAAGTTTAATGGATTAATATGTTGTTTTCATATAGCAAAGAAACTAGCTGGACAAAATCTACTGCTAACTTTAAGTACTTATTTTTATAAGAACTTACGTGAAGGTATCTAATGTTGTCTCCTCTTCATTGAATTAAGCATCTCCTGAATGCTTTTACTTATGCATGGCTAGGAATCCTAAGCTCACAATTGCAAGAAGTTTTCCCGCCTAGCACGGAGGAAGCTATAATGCTCTGGAGGATGGAAGAGGGTCGCTCTGAGCTCTCGATGTTTGAGTTCTCTCAGGTTATAGATGCCACAAACAACTTCTCAGAAGGAAATAAACTTGGCGAGGGTGGTTTTGGTCGTGTCTACAAGGTGAACTATTCCCTAGATTTTTTTTCTTTGGTAAATTGAAGAGTTAAGACAAGTAGATAAACCACATATTACATGAAAAAATCGATTGTATAAGTAATCAAACAAACATAATGAAAATTTAATAATATGTGAATTAAAATTAAGACACTATGGGAAAGGGCATTAACAACATCGTATGACTAATTATTTTTTAGGTAATAGACCCCATGTATCCCCTCTAGGCGACACGCAAGTGTTGACCATGTTCCCTTCACGTCGTCCCTCTTCCAACATTTGTCCTCTCGGTGTCACCGGTAGTGGTGGGGCTTCGTCTTACGCAGAGGTTTCAGAGGAAGGTGTCGTCCTTTGCTTATGGTGGTAGAGGTAAATGAGAAATAACAGTGGTTCACACATGGGTGGCATTTAGGATGACATGCCATTCAGCAGTATCAAAGACATGGGCAACCATTGTCCTGAAATATAGTCAAGGATTTTCCATAGGTTTGTGTGATGAGCTAGTGTCCCCTCACAACGGCTCCTTACCTAAGCTCTTTTTTCTGTCATTAGGTTCTTATGAGCAACTATATAATGCTAGTTGGTGATCCAAAATGTTAGGGTCTAAATCCACCATCAAGTTCTAATACCAAGGTAAACATACTGTTATCGGATGGCCCCTTACGAGCTCTTGATAGTGCCAGTGACCCTCATACCAGCCAGTCCATGGTCCCTAGTGTAGGGTGCAATGATGATGTCTTGATTGATGCTGGAGGATTTATGAGCTCCATGGCTATCCATCACCTAGTGAAGTTCACATCAGTGTTATATGTATGAGTGTATATGACATGGAAGCTTAGGTCGGCATATCCGAACCCTGATTCCATGGCAGGTGCCTCCTGGCCTTCAGACTTGATTAGCTTTCCTAGTGGCAACTTGTTCTCCCTAATCAATTGTTGGACGCTAGCTAATTTTTTCTTAGCTAGACAGATGACTTTTAGACTTTAACAACTCTTAGCGGAGTTTATTTTTTGAGGTTGATAGTGTAAAAGTTGATATAATGGATGTTTGGTTCACTTTTGGTGTTGTTGAGGCATGGATTCATGTCAACATTAGCTTGGCAAGTGGGAGAGAAATCACATGACAACTTTAGTATTTGTATCCAAGGAAGGTTCTTACATGTTTGGAGTCTGTTCTCGATCGATGCATCTTTGTATAGGCCTTACATGGCATGAATGGTATCCCTTCTTTCTAGTCCTAGTCTTCTCTAAGAGAGCTCCTTCATTGATTGAACGTTCAACATTCCTATTAGGCTCCACTCCCCCTATGCCAAGCACCCAATCATCAGATTGGAATGGCACTCTAGACCATATATTTTATGGCATAGAAGGTCAAGCAACCATTGGTAAACCAAGATTTCCATCTATTGACTCCATCAATCAATCTTTCCTTATAGGGGGGGGGGTATATTTGTATACAAGATGTGTGCATACACTAAGAAGAATGTAATATTTCTTGGGCACATATAATCCATTTTTCATCAAAGACATAGATTCATAAATGGTTGGTCGGATTAAATACCACTTGGTGCGCTTGAATAATGGTCTCGAACTCATGGGTGAAAACCCTTGGTTCGAACTTCATTGCTTGTACTGGCAACAACGGTAATTACGTGATGTTCCCTCATTGAAGCATTGCTCATTATTTCCTCGGAGTTTATATCCAAGGCAAAAAATCCACGATTTAGCCATCAATAGTTAGGTCCAGCGGTCTTAATTTCAACATAGTTCCCTTCCTAGGGGAATTATTGTTTGATAACATTTTTTGTTATGGTATCAGCGGCGGTGGTTAATAGTGGAGATTATTGATGTGTGTCACTGATCACTTCATCATAAAACATTTGGGTATTGTTTCCCTTTTTTACTAAATTTGGTTGTCTCCATCACTAATTTCTTGACTAGGACTTGACATTGTGCATCATTAATTTCTTGACTAGGACTTGACATTGTGCTTGACTGGCTTGTCAACAATAAGTAAAATCACCTAATAAACCCAGTGCTATGGGAATCCATTCAGAAGGACCCTTATGGGACCAAAGGAGTACGGGCTTGAACCCAACTCAAGAATGCCACCGACCTCGGGTATTCTTTTCCTAGAGATTAATTAGGAATCCTTCAGGGATATGTGGGAATTGACATACAGTTGGGTACCAATTTGGCATGGGCTCCTCTTGTACAACTAGTAAAGTGACATGCCCCCACCAGAACTTGGTCTATATAAACACATCAGGGACCCCTCGGGGCAGGATCACACAATTTGGAGCTTAAATGGCCTTCGAGGTTTCAAGTTATGTTCTATATCCCCCTATTGACTTTATGCGTATTTCCCTGACAATGAATCTACGTACTTGGTCTTGTACCGCTATTAGGACCCAAAGAAATCCCTCCGGATGGATCTTTACGCCGTGTGTTGTGGAGGCCAGGTGTAGTTGGTGTGAACTTGATATTAGTGTAATCCTTTTAAGCCGGGTGGAGTGGTTCACCTCAACCTCACGTACATTTTGAAAAAAATATCCAGACTAGGCGAGAACTATGGAAGTGTTAATTACGCTAATGGAATTCGAAATGTTTCTTTTCATTCCAATTCAGTAAGAATGGTGTAGAATACTTTAAACCATGCATTTAGAAAAATACAATAGTTGATATTTCTGTTTCCATGAAAAGTACTATACTACACCTATTTTTTGAGATAAAGATACAACACCTTACCCGTCAATAAGAGAATTAAAGAATTTTATTTCACATTATGAAAGAATCGATGTTAGATATGTGGACTAAAGAGGAAATCATAACCTTTCTTGGACATTTTTTAAAAGATACAATAAACCATTTACTAACATTGCCATACGAATTTGAAATAAAAAAATACCAAAAAAGATTAAATAAAGAAACAAGCAATGTTTTACTCACCTTAAGTACAAAGGCACAAAAAACAACAAATAAAATCCAACCAACATAATCTCAATTGCATAATGAAACTTGGACTCTCAACAAACATATGAGAGTATTTAATCTTTAATATATTGGACATGTATATTATATTTGAATCCTCTTTATCTAAAAATATCCCATAAGTTTTTTAAGTAGATTGCCATAGGGCTCACATTTTTCCATTAATGATGAACAAGATGTAACACCCTTTTAAACCCCATAACTTCCTAGAAATAGAGTCCTTATATGGACAGTTACCCATTATCAATGGACGACTAAAATTAACCTACTTCCAAAAAAACATCATAACTTGTTATAAATAAAGTACTTGTGAGGGTGATTTTTTCCTTGATTAATAACACAAGGAATAGTACTTGATAAACACTAAATCATAAATAAACAATGACATGACCATGAATACCATGTTAAATAATGTATTGCAATTATTTAACCATTTTCATATTATTTGTATTAGTACCGAAAACAACATAATAACTGCATTCTTGATTACCTCAATGAGCAATATAATTTTTTAAATGAAGTATCTAGTAGTTTAGAACATATAATATATAGTAAAACCGAGGCAGTGAGTTAATTGTACCAAAACGATTTAATTGCATCCCTAGTTACTTATAAATAAATATCAAGCGTCATGGTAAGAAAACGAGCTGACAACATAAGCTCATGTCCTTTTGTTCTTGAACCCACGCAACTCTGCAGGGACAACTACAGAATGGACTTGAGATAGCGGTCAAAAGACTAGCTCAACACTCAGGGCAAGGTCTAAATGAGTTTAAGACTGAGATTCATCTTATTGCGAAGCTTCAGCACACCAACTTGGTGAGACTCTTGGGGTACTGCATTGAAGGAGAAGAGAAGATTCTGATATATGAATACATGTCCAATAAAAGCTTAGACTTCTTCATATTTGGCAAGTTATATCCATAATCTTAATATCCATTTAAGTAGTTTCAATCTCACTCTACCTTAAGGTACTACTTCTGAATGGATTTTTGTTTTCTCATATATGTGTAGATACAACAAGAGGAGGATTATTAAACTGGAACAGGAGGCGTCATATTATTGAAGGTGTGGCTCAAGGATTACTTTACCTCCACAAGCACTCACGTTTGAGGGTAATGCATAGGGACTTGAAAGCGAGCAACATTCTATTGGATGAAAATATGAACCCGAGGATATATCGGATTTTGGCCTTGCTCGAATATTTGGATGGAATGAAAGCCATGCCAATACAAGCAGAGTTGTAGGAACACAGTAAGATCATAGAGATATCTCAAATTCAATACTTAGTCGTGAAAATTAATGAACATCGTTGATAGCTTTACACAAGTAAACAATGATAAATCTAAGCCATTTTCTCCATCCAGTGGTTATATGGCTCCTGAATATGCCTCGGAGGGACAATTCTCAATCAAGTCGGATGTATTCAACTTCGGTGTGTTGCTTCTAGAGATCATCTCTGGGAAAAGAAACAACGGGTTCAACCAAACTGGGAACATTGGTAATCTTCTTGGATATGTGAGTAACATGGTCCTCTCGTTTGGTATATATGCTTGTCATTATTAAAATATGTATTTTTGTCATAAACAGATTATATAATTATATGTTTTGTATTGCCGTCACATCAGTGTGCAAATATTGTTTCCACTCCGCCTAACACTCTGGTGTATTACCCGTACGTTTTCAGGCTTGGCTATTATGGAAAGGGAAAAAATGGTGTGAGCTCATTGACCCTTGCTTAGACGTTAAGCATCCAAATATGGAGATTATGAGATTCATTAACGTTGGGTTAATGTGCGTACAAGACGACGCTGTCGACTGCCCTACAATCTCGGATGCTATCTCTTTGCTTATGAATGAGAGCATAATCTTGCCTAACCCGAAGAAGCCTGCTTACTTTAGGAACAAAGGAGAAGATCCAGAGTTAGAGGAACAATATAGTGTAAACCTCCTTACTAGTTCACCTACTGATGGTAGATAGTTGCACTTGTGTTACTTGTACTTCTAGCCCTTTGTATCCACTTATATTTAGCACCATGGACGTTTTAAAAACTCGAATCAGTTTGCAAAACACCCCGAGGAGGTACTCAATCATTTGAGTAATGATACGCTGGATCTTTCTTCTAATTTGTTTGTCACATTGATCCCGTGGTTAAGATGTTGGTACAACTAGTTGTAACACTGGATTGAATGTT